AACCGTTCTATGATTCTATGAAACCGGGAACAGTTGTGATTCCTCTGGGAGCTTGTGCTGGTGTCTCATCATGAGGTTTTAACTCCAGTAAAGGCTGCTGTTACCTACATGTTTTCCAACTTTCCCCTGTTGTCTTGGAGCAGTTAAGAAAAACTCCAGCGTAGTCATGTCCTGTTTGGTTTTGCCCTCGTTACCAAGGTCGGTAAGGGTTTAGGATGGCACAGGCAGCTGCCCTCGGCAGAGAGACAGGAGGTGGTTCCGGCAGCAGCAGCTCTCCCCTCGGCAGTGCGGGGCGACGTGATGCTGCTGTGGTTGAGGTCTGGGCCTGTCGGCCGGGTGCTGCTGGCTCTCTGCAGCTTGAGGCCATGCAGTGTGGGTGCTTTCAGACGGCTTAGAAAGCACTTGCTGTAAACCTGTTTCATTTAGCGCCTGCGGCTCTTTACAGTGTATTAATGGTTGGCTGAGGTGTAGTGTTAAAAGGTAATGAAAGGGCTCTTCTTGCTGCTTTAGTTGACTTTTACGCCGTTGCTGTGTGTTGCTGTCTGCGTTACACTTGAAAAGCATGCTAGCAACCAGCTTGCCTAAGTCTGTGTGTTGTAATAAACTTTAAAACTTGCACTAAGGGCCATTAATTCGGAAAATCTTACATCTGCTGTCCTGTAAAGCGAGCAACCTCAGCACTAGGTAGACCTCTAACAAACGCTAGTGAATGTTTTGCTATTTTCCCTTATTACTTTATCATTCTTTTTCAAATTGCTTGTTCTTCATTCCAGAGTGCTGCTCGTCTACAACAGTGGGCTAAATCTTCAGTAGGTTCATTTTGGGACACTGTAAGCTGTCCCTGCAGGAGTTAGGGTTAGGCACAGGACGACATCTGTGTCTCGTAGAGGTACAAATAGGAAGCTTCACAGTGCTTACTTCAGCCAGGAATTATAATAGCTAGTCATGTAATTCTCCATGGATTTTAAGATCTTCCCAGGCTATGTTTTTTAGAAGGCTCTATTATTTTAAAACACTTGAAATCTGGCAGTATTTTCAAATAGGTGTTTCAGATGTTTGCCTTGACCAGTAAATGCAAATAGTTAAATATCTTAGCACGAACTGGAAATAGAATAACAGGAGGAAATGTTGACTTCTAAGTGCATAATGTTAATTTGTGTAGTATAAACTTATCTTTTTTTTTTACCTTAAATGCACCCATTTAGTCTGAAGCTTTACTCTTTTGAGTAGGTGATCCAGGTCGTGAATTCTGTCTTGTCTCCGTTCACAGCCAGTGCTCCTAAGGCACTCCGTTTAGAGGAACTCTCCTGTTCATTTAAAAAAAAAAACACTAGGAAGGGTCTTACCGTCTGTGGATACTCCATGATTGTACTGCTCCGTGTTTGCAGCCTAGAAAATGAAAACACAACGCTTGTCTGTATTTCCTTTGGGTTAATATTTTCTAGATTAATGTAAGACTACGTAGCCCATTGAATGTATTTCAGCAGCGGTTTGTGTTGTGAACGGGACTTGTTATTTGCAGTGGTAAGGGGCCATAAACTTGTTGGAAACTGGGCTGCAGTGATTCTTTTGCTTATTAAATAGATTAAGACTTAAGGCTCGTAGGGTTATCTCTAAGTAATTAGAGCTGCTGGAGTGCAGCATTCTCTATTCTTGCTCTGCAAACATTCAGTGTGTTTAACAAACGGGCTTGCAGTTTTCCTTGAAATCCTGCAGTTTGGCTGGTGTGCAGTGAGCACAAAGGAAAGTTTTAGCTAATTTTTTCTTCTTCGTGCATCTCGCATTCATGGAAGTTTATTTCTCAATCTATTTTTCCCATATTACCAAATCTTTAATGAATTTGTAGTGGAGACTTGGAGACTTTGATTGGTTTATCTGTTCTCTTGAAAAACGTTTCTGGTGGGTTTGGAAGGTATTTATTTAGGTCCATAGCTGGAAAGCCTTAGGCATTCAGAGTAACTTGTAACCATGCAGGTATAAAAACCTGTGAAAAGCATTCATATATGTCTTTATTTAGTTGCTTTATACAGCTAAACCAGCTCTTCTGATGTCTGAAAACAAGATTTGGTGATTGAATTTATATGAAAGTGTGCTTTTTTTTCCTGGCCAAGCAAACAGCGTAATTGTTGCTGAAATGGAATCTGAGATCTGCTTTGACAGAATCTTCGTTTCCCATTTGTTTAGTACACGAAGATGGAATTTGCAATTAAACACACATGGGATGGTTTACCCGTGAGCCACGAGCCAGTAACAGTTGTGCTGAAGTCGGACAATGCAGGACTGCTGATGGAAGTTAATGCTCCCTTCTTTAATGATCCTCCAGCACCACTTGGAGAGCCAGGGAAGCCTTTTGGTGGACTGTGGGACTACGAGGGTAAGTACAAGCGTATCTGATGTGTGTAGACACTGGTGTCCCTCTTAGTTGATATGCCTGGACGTTACTGAAGAGTTACTTTTTCAAACTGATCCCATCGTTGTGAGTGTATGACGTGTAATACATTTAGGTTTCTCTGGTGCCGGTGCTACCTTTAAAGATCAGGTCTGAAATGTCAAGTAGAAAAATCTTCTGTGTGTGGGGAAGAAAAGTGGGAAAGAATTTAGTTGTAATCACTGCCTTACCCTTAAATAGGTCCTGAGGTAGCATAAGCTGCATACTACATTATCGGGCTGTAAACCACCCCAAACTGTATGAAGAGCGATGCTCTTTCTCTAGTTGGTGAATTGATTTTCATCACTAGCACTGCTGGCTGTAAGGTGAGCGGTTGTTTTATTGTAGTGCAACAGTACAGATGACTGGGAAAAGAAGCAAATACGGCCATAATTTGATGGCCATAAAGAAATGGAGTACGGTGAGCTGGATTAATTTCAAGAATGATGAGGTTGACTCTTCCTGATCCTGGCAAATGTATAGGCACTCAAACCTGATTTCTGGGTTGCTGATATAACTTGTGGAATCTTAGAGGCTTGCCATATTTGAACATCAAAATAATTTTGTGGCATGTATATAAAAATGCACTTGCAGTAGGTAAATCAAAACGCAATCCTAAAGATAGGTTCTACTTTTGCTTTAAGAAGTGGAGAGCAATGGCTAAAACATTTGTCTGTTTTAATCACTTCTCCAAGGAATATTTGAGGAATAGGAAGGTGTGAAACAGAGGGCAGCTTATACAATACGATTTAACACTGTACTCAAGTGGAATGGAGAATATTCTCATAGTCATGCTGTTTTCTTTCTCCTTTCCTTACCTGTTGCTTTGAAAAAATGCAAGAGTTTAATGTTTCCATCAGTTCTCTGCTTCCTGATTTTTGAGCTGTTCTGATTAAAGCTTTTCTGGAACAGTAGAAGAATCTCTTTGATATCATTACACTAAATAGGCTTATAAAATAAAGTTATCAATAATACCTGACTAAAGCTTTCTAATAGTGTCAGGGCTGTGAGAAACACCATTATAGTTCTACTTCGTGTTCCTGAAAGGAGATTCAGTGGTCGCACCTGGCTTTCAGGTACACCTGGAACAGTAATCCCCTGTCCAATGTATCAGCCATCCACAGGGGAAAACCATTTAAGAGCTAAACGTTTTCTTGCTATTCCTGAGATTTGGCAGTCTTGGTCATGGGGTGTGTGCTCTGCATTTCCACATTTCAATTTTTTTCCTGGTCGCTGGTGCTCTGAATCCCCAGGCTACCAGCAAACTTGGCACTGAGGTGCTCTACATGGAGGGCTCGCTGTGAGCAGGATTGACTCGGGTCACTCCACCGGTCAGCTCTGCTCACAGCAAGCACGCGAGGTGCAACAGCTGCGCGCTGACGCTTTCCCCCCTGCAGTGGAAGCTAACATTAGGGAGTAGACCGGCCGTTTTCCTGCTGCATCAAGATGAGTGTTTTCAAAGCTAGAGTTGGTAAAGAAAGTTAGTACAGTGCTTTATAAAGCTCTTTGTGATAATAGGCATGAAAAAAAAGCTCTTGAAGTTACAATTATGGCACAGCATTTCAAATAGTTAGGAAGCTGTCAGTAGCATCTACACAAACTGGCCAAAAATCATGAAAACAGAGTTATTTTAGTGGGCTGTGAAGGTGTCAGGATATTACCAAATAGTTAATACAGAATTCTGACAGCCTGGTTCTTTTTTTTTCAGTTGTAGAAGCGTTTTTCCTGAGTGACAGAACTGAGCAGTATTTGGAAGTTGAACTTTGTCCGTAAGTATGGCGCTCTGAACAAATGTTCCTTTGCATTTGCAGTTCTAATGCTTGTGGGATGTATGTATGAGGAGGGTTGGGTACAGAGGTTGTTCCAGTACGGGGAAGGTAGACCTTTGTGGCAGAACATTACACTCATAACTTGGCATCGTTTTAAGAAAATTGTGCTCTCATTTTTTTGACAGCCATGGACAGCACCTGCTGCTGCTGCTTTCTGGCAGAAGAAGAGTGTGGAAAGTAAGTGGTGAAGTACATTCACAACGTACAGAAAAACTACCTGGTTTTAGGTACATATGGCCTGAGTGGAAGGTGACATTACCTCTTTTTTTTTTTTCCCCCTCCTTTATCAGGAAGCACTTCCTTTAGAATTTGAGGTGACCAGGATGAAAACCAAATGGGAGGGTAAAGCTCATCTTCCTTGGAATTATTTTCCACCGTGCACTAACAAGTTCAATGCATTTGCAATTCATGGCTCAGGAGAAGAGAGAAAATACGAAGCGCTTCATCCTGTGCCTCGACACCAACTTCAGGAAGGACAGAAACCAGATTTGTAAGCATGACATTAGCTCTTTGCAGCGTAGTTGCACTATTCTTGGAATAGCTAAAAAAGCTAATCTGGTTTTCAGGGTGAGTGCCACTAGTATGCTGATTACACTGCTTAGCCCCAGCTCCACTGGCGCTGTGCTTTGTATAAAGCACTGTGGCAGACAGCTGTAATTAGCACTTGATTTCTGTGTTAATCCCCTTGGTGCATAGGAAATGACGCATTCAACGCCACCGGTGTCTGTTTTATCACTTTCCTCAGCTAAATCATAGATAGGTAGTTCTACTTTTTCCTTGCCTCCAGCACCTCTTCAAATGCCATTTAGTGTTCATTTCACCAGATAGATTTCCAGTAAATCTCTTTTGCTTCTCCCTGACTGTTTGGAACAATGTCACCTCTACAGATGCCTTCATATTACAGAGAAATTTGAGAAGGCAGGCTGAGCTAAGAAGTACAATAAAAGCATACCCAGTATCAGTAGAAAAACTGGGCTGTCTTGATTTTTAAGTTGTGCTTTGGGCCTGTTTATTTTCTTTGACTGTGAGGCTGAGATGATTTAATTAAAAACTACTTCTGGGCGTTTTGTATAAATGAACTAGCTCTAGAGGGTGCACTATAGTTCTTATGCAAACTTGTTGCTTTACCTTTCCTGGCTGTCACTGTATGTTAATTTTAGATGTTACCCTTTTCTGGCTTTGTTTAAGAAAAACTTAGCTTCTGCAACTATTCATTAAAAAAAAAATTAAGCTATTGCTAATAAAATACATTCTCTTTAACATTGTTCTGTCAGAAATAGATACTTTTTATTTTTCTGTGATAAACCAGAGAATGCCTGTAACATTTTTCAGGAAGGGATTCTTTCTATTCTTTCTATAGTAAACCCTTGTGTGAAGAGGTTGCGCCTTGCTACTTTCATTGCTCTTAATTTGTCTTTACTCTTTCAAATTACCTCCTCATACAGGAATTCCAGTTGTGTTTTTAAATGATTAGTGTAGCGTCATGTTCCGTCTACTGTTTGGCCGTTGTTTAATGTAAGTCTTAATTGGCTTCAGTGTCTGCCTTCTGTTGTTCCTGAGTGGTAGCCTAAAGGAGAAATTCTTAGCAAGAACTGATTCATAATGTTTAAAAGAAAACAAGACTTCTACAGGAAAAAATATATTTACTAGCTTCATTATCCTATCCTGCCTTCCCCTTTTCTGTAAGGGAAGGATATCCCTGTGATAGGATTTTTCAGTTGGTCAAGAGCTGAAAATTATTACTCCACTGGAGTGTGGATAAGTCATAAAGCCGGGTATCACGGTGCTCTTGCTCTGACTGCAGTTCCAGGCAGTGTAAGTTGAGGGTTTTTGAAAGGTGAGCACTTGGTTAATGTGCACGTTGTTAAACTTCCCTTTATGCTGTGTGATAGCCCTGTGTTTTCCAGTACAAGATTTTCAGAAACACAATTGTGTTTTTTATTTATGAACACTGGTTTTGGACAACGAACACATGGAATGCTGGGTACGTTCCTGTCCAAGAAAACCTGAAAATAGAAATGCGTGAAGCTTATTGAGGATACTGCCTTTTATTTAGACACATACTACAAGACTTAACAAGTTGTTTATTTATTTCTCCTCACTTTACAGTCATCACCTGGAATTTTTCAAAGATTTGAACCTGAAAGAACTGATGGGAGGAGACTGGAAGCAGCCTGAATCAGATATATGGAAGTCTCTCACTAATTCAATGGATTGAGGCATAAATTTTGATAGCATAAAGGTTGGATGATGCTGGAAGCAACTTCTTCATTCTGAGCAGAGTTTGTAAATATCAGATTTGTAAGGCATTCCTTGAGACCAAAATCATTGATCAGTCTTAAAATCACCTACAGAGGGTCTGGGCTGGTTCGAAACGTATAAAGTGTGTCACTGTTTGTTTTTCAGTTCCTCTGGGTGTGGAGTTGTTCACCTGTGCAAGAGATGAATCTGCTCCTGCTGACGAAGGGGAAAAATTGTGCTGAAGTTATGGTTGTCTTGTCAGGCTTAGAGCTCTTGTGACAAGGACAGTGTGTGGCATGGAGTCCTTTAGTTTCCTGTAGTTGCTGCTTTTCTGCTGTGTTTTCCCTGCTGCTTGTTTGTTTCTTAGCTGTTGAATGAGGGTCTTACGTGCCTCGATTTTTTTGATTGCAGGAGAAAGAATGGCTCCTTCAGGAAGCGAAGAGAACATAGCTGTCATGGCATTTTGTGGCCCAGTACTTGTGTTGCAAGATGCTGTGGAGTTATCGCACTACTCTTCCCTATACCTGAAGTTTTCCCTTGTGCAGTGCTGAAGGGGGAACTTAGTCTGTATTGCTTCCTTAGCAGACCTCTTTGCTTCACCTTCAGTGTGGAATTTCTAGGGATGTTTAGGTACAGAGGTCAGATTTACAAAAGGTTTTATGTATTCCAGGAATGTTTCTAGGAGAAGTGTTTAGTAAAACCTCTTGATGTAGCTGCGTGCCTACAAAACCGTGTTTGTTCCAAGACCTTGGAATGTCACCTTAAGGATTCAGCTCAGACATAGAAGAATTTTGTTTGCCTGCCACCTAATGTCGGAAATACTTTAATGTGCCTACATTTTCTACATACAGGCATGAATACTTTTAACAGTACTGAATACTGTTAGATGGTAACATCTAATCTGTAAACTCCCACAGGATTTGCAGAGATGTTTCTTTTTTGTCTAGCATAGGAAGTGCTGCTTGATTGTGGCTACTGGCTTGGTCCTATGTAAAATAACTTAGAAAATGGGAAGGTTACTTACTAGCCAGATCCTACATTTGTAAAGTTAGGTGTCTTGAAAGTCAAACTTCTTTGGTTTAGTTCAGAATGAGGATTCAGACCAAGACGTGGTCCTCAGTCCTTTACTAGAAAGAGAACTTCCTCTGTCCTCTTGAAATGTCATCATCGCAGGGTAAAAGGTGGTCATGTTTTATAGTTTTGTCAGAAGGATTGTTTTGGGAGTTGGAAAGAATATGGCTCAGTCATAACTGAGGGAGTATCTTTCAGAAGTTACGCCCTGAGGATGTGGTGTTGGGTCTCATCCTTTTGTGTAGCATTTTCTACTGAACAATTTAGAATACTGCAAGTTCCTGGAAGGGGCTGGTGTTCTTGTAGTCTAACATCCTGCTCAGAGCAGAGTTATTGTTGAAACTTGATGAGTTTCCTCAGGGCCTTGTTGAGTTTTGGTAACTCCAAAGATGGAGCTTCAAATGCTCTGGGTAGCCTGTTGCAGTACGGAACTAATTCTGTTATGAAAGCTTACCGATTTGCCATTTCCCACGCTGCAACCTGTGTCCATTGCCTTTTGTCCTTTCTCTGTGCCTCCCCAAGAAGAGTGACTTTACTGATTAGGCAGCTGAAGATAACTGTTAGCTCCCCATGGATGTCTTTGTTGTCCTTCTCAGGTTGCCTTTTGTGACTCCCGGTAGTAAACACCTTCCTCTCATAACACCGACACAACCTAAAAACGCAACTTGGGTTGTAAGTCAGAGACAGCAATGCCCCACACCTTTCTGGTTTATGTAGCTCATAAACGGTTCTAAAAGTCTTGTGTGTAGCTGTAGACTTGAGAATGCTTGTAAAGTTTTACACAAGGCTGTACTCTTAACCCATACTGCTCAAAGGATCCTCTGTTCTCTTCTGAGCTTGTATGCAGTAATAGCCATAGTCTGATGATCCTGTTTTCTTTGCTATCTTTAAACTTAACTCTACCTCTGAATTCTGCCTGAGAAGAAAAGATGGGACTTGGTGTGATTAATAGCTGAGACGGAGTTTTTGTTTGGCTTTAGGTTCCCTCGTACTTTCCTGTTACAGGACATCAGGCTTTTTCAGCTGCAGACTTTGGCATGTCAGTGCACTCAGCCATCCAATTGTTTTTACTGCCTTTTAACTTGACCCTATAGATTCCTTGCTATCAAGTGCCATCTGTTGAAAATCATAAGTAATGTACATTCAGTTGTTTGGCTTCTTTTCCACGTTCCATCCGTGTGCAGTTTTCTGAAGAATGGCATCAGTCTGAAATGTTGAATAATCCAATAAGTGTTGATCAAAACTGTCTTCTAGATACTCACATCTCAAAGCTGCTTTTGACATTTCAGTCAACAGCAAGAACCATTTCATTAAACTTTAGACTTTGTTTTAAACACTGTCAAAAAAATGCATGCAAAGGTTCAAAATGAGTTTACTATTCTTTTTCACAAAGGTCGTTTTTGCTTGATGGGTTTTTTGTATGTAAAGGGCAGTAAATCAAATAATTTATTTAGAGGCTTCATCTATTCACTCCCACTTCAAACTGAAGACTTCAGATTGGACTTTGGATGCAAATTATAAACTTTGAGGGAAATAGATTACTTATCCTAACTAAGTAATTGAAAGTAAAACAATTGTCTCTGCAGCACAAAATGTAATGCTCGATGCTTCTGAAGATGGGAATTATCATACAGGCTGAGTCAAGACACATGCTACTCCAGACTGCTGTCAGGTGGTTCACTTGCATGTTTCTGAGCTTTCAGGGTGGGTCTCAACCGTGATTGCTGGCTTTCATCAGAAGCTTTCCTTGTGGGTTTGTGGAAGGTGGAGTCAGAACCTGTGTGCTGACTTGTTTCTGAAGGTTTAGAGTTAGGCTCATCCCTCGGTGGAAATGTACTGTGGGGTGGAGCCGCTACGTCAGGCACGTGTTAGGTGGAAGCACGGTGTCTCGGCACACGGTAGTGAATTCGTGGCTCGTCAGGGGGCAACACAATGCTTGCCAGCATCACTCAAACCCCCCAGGACCTTGCGGGTATGGGTGTCAGTGTTCACCGAGGTGACGGTCTCCCTGCTTATTGCAGGGGGGTTGGACTAGGTGACCTTTAAAGGTCCCTTCTAACCCAAACTTCTGTGACACTGTGACTAGCCAGCTTGTAGCTTTCTTGCTCTGATCTGCTTTTCAACCAAGCCTTGTTCTACCCCGTGGAGTCCCATTGTTGCCTGTCTTCCCTGAGTTGCCTCTCTTTTTTGATGACATGCAAACACGAGGAAAAGACAAAACAATCTCTGTTCTGTAGGAGTTCCATTTAAGTACGTGTCCATGAACGGTTAATCCTGGTTTAGAAGGAGTGCGATTCAGTCCAGTCCAGCTCATTGTGTGTGCGTATATGCACACCTACGTATCTATAGGCATTCAGCATTGTGCTGGTTTCGTATGCCAGACTGTGCTGGGCTTCTGTGGCACTGGGTTTTGGTAGCCAGGGAAGACCCACAGGGATGGCTCCTGTGAGAAGCTGCTAGAAGCTCCCCTGGCTCCAGGTCAGACCCACCTCTGGCCAGGGCCGAGCGAGTCAGCACCTCTGCCAGTTAACGTTCTTAAGAGGGGAAAACACAAAAAGGGAAGCAGCAGCGGAAGCAGAGTGGAGAGAAGAGTGGGGTGTGAGAGAGACAGCCAGGAAGACATCCAAGTCAGTGCAGAAAGGCAGGAGGAGGTGCCTGGAGCAGAGGTTCCCCTCCGCCTGTGGGAAGAGGGCAGGCTGTGCCCTGTAGCCATGGAGGGTCTCGGGGGGCAGAGACCCCCCTGCAGCCCCGGGAGATCCCCATGCCAGAGCAGGCGGCTGTGCCTGAAGAGCCTGTGACTCTGTTGGAAGGCCGCTCTGGAGGGTTCTGGAAGGGACCCACACTGGAGCAGATGGAGGAGAAAAGTGTGGCCCATGGGAAGGAATCATGACAGGGAGGTTTGTGGAGGACTGTCTCCCATGGGAGGGACCCTACACTGGAGCAGGGGCAGAGTGTGAGTTCTACCAGGAGGAAGAAGGAGCAGCAGAGACAAGGTGTGGGAAACAGCAGTTCCTGGCCCCTGTACCACTGAGGGGGAGGAGGAAACCCAGGAAAAAGGGGGGGGGAGTGGCTTAAGACATCTTTTGTTTTGTCTCTCCTTGCCCTACTCTGATTTTGATTGGTAACTGATTAAATGGATTTTTCAAGTCGAGTCTGTTTTGCCGGTGACCATAAAGGGTGAGTTATCCCTCCCTGTCCTTGCCTCAGGCCATGAGCCTTTGGTTGTATTTTCTCCTCCACATCCCGCTGGGGTGAGGTGCGAGCGAGCGGCTGCTCGGTCTTTGATCCCAGTTGGGCCTAAACCATGACATAAACTTTTATCACGAACAATGCAGATAAATTCTCTAAACTGTCCCTCTGGGTATACTTTATGGAAGATATCCATTTCATAAAATGCAGGCCTGCATGATAGAAAGCACAGCTCATGCAAGCACTCGACAAACCCATTTCCCTTTGGAATGGATTTAAACACTTCAACCCTGTGAGCACTTTTTATCCATTGCTCTCTTAAAAAAATAAAAAAAATCAACTTTTCTCATAAATGTTTCCTGTGGATAATATTTGGCCTTGTGCCACTTAGGTAAAAAAAAATTGTTTTATCGTATTTAGCCAGAATTCAGAAGGAAATGTGGCTGTTGTGTTACCATTACCTTCTTGACAATACCATCACCTTTTCCCCCACTACCACAACCATTTTTAAATTCATTAGCCAATTTAAGCTGAATCAGAGAAACAGAAAGCCTCAAAGGATGCTATATTCTTGCAAAATGTGTGGATGTGACAGCTGGAGGCAGTTTCTCGTCACAGCACCCCAAATTGAGGAAAAGGAGAGATCATCTCAGCCCTTACCCTTCGGTTGCAGTGCCCGCTACTTGAAGCGGTTGGTGCGTGCTTACCTTCAGCTGC